CCCCAAAACCCCAAAACCCCAAAACCCCAAAACCCCAAAACCCCAAAACCCCATTATTAAATAATCAAATGAATGAGCAATTCCTTTGAATAAATAAAATATTTAATATAGATTGGTTAAGGAAAGAATATTGTGGGTAATAGGTTTGATTTGAAATTAATAGGTTGAAGGGTTAATCTTCATCTTGAATCTCATTCTTGAGCAGTTTCTCCTGATGGTTGAGCATCTCCGGCACCTTCAGCGTTCTCGCCTCTTGGGCCACCTCTGCCTCTGCCGCCTCTTCCGAAGCCTCTTGGGCCGCCTCTGCCGCCTCTTGGACCACCTCTGCCTCTTCCACGGCCACCTCTTTCACCTCTGTCTTCTCTGGTGTTTTTCTTTTCAGCATATTCCATTAAGTACTTGGAGTAGGTAATGAATGGAGATGGGAGGAAATCAGTCTTTGGCCAGAGATCTGGGGTAAGGAAACCATAAGAGTTTTGAAGAGCATCGAAAGTAGCCTTAATGAAGTTCTCAAGAGTCTTGGTTGAACCAGTGGTGCTGGTGAAGCAATCTTCGACTCCAGAGAATTGAAGGAGTTTCTTTGAGGTTGGGGCACCGACGATACCAGTACCTCTTGGAGCTGGGATGAGTCTAACTCTGACTGAACCGCACTTTCCGGTAACCTTAACTGGGACTGTATGGACATTACCGATCTTGTTTCCCCAATAACCTCTTCTGACTGGGATGAGTGAGAGCTTAGCAGCAACCAAGGCACCCTTAATGGCAATTTGGACTTCCTTGGCGACCTTTACTCCGAGACCGACGTGACCATCGAGATCACCGACGGCAACGACGGCCTTGAATCTGGTTCTTTGACCGGCCTTGGTTTGCTTTTGGACGGTGATGATCTTCATAACCTCGTCAGATAATTCCTTCTTGGCTCTAGAGAGGAGCTCATCAACGATTTGTGATTCCTTGATGGGAATAGAGTGGGTGTAGATTTCTTCGAGTGACTTGATCATGTTGTACTTAACGAGTCTTCCAAGCTTGGTTAGGGGAACCCAATCCTTGTCGTCGGGTCTACCACCTCTGGGAGCACCACCTCTGGCACCTCCTCTGGCACCTCTGGCTCCGCCTCTTCCGAAGCCGCCTCTTCCGCCTCTTTCGCCTCTTTCACCTCTTTTGGCTTCTCCTCCAGCAGCAGCTGTTGGTTGTGTTTGTTCAGTTTGGGCTGCAGCACCTTCTTCCATCCTTAGTTGTTTAACTATTTAATAATAACTTCAAATAAGATACAAGTTAATATATCATTAATTTTAATGGAATCATAAAACTAAGTTGAGGAATAAAAATCTCAAGAATTCTAAGTAGGACCAACTAATTGGGTGTAATCGCTAAAGCAAGCATTAAGCAAAAACCAGTAGTTGCAATACTCTAAGTACTTCTCGATTTCATTATATGATGTACAAAATGAAGAGACAATCTCTGATTACCTCAGATTAGAACTAATAATAGAGAAGAATATTGATCTAAATTTCCATAATGGATAGCCAAGTCAATACTATACAAAGCCTTACCTTGCTGTTTGTGTTGATTAAAGATCAGATATAGGCAAATTGATCCATGAGAATAAAGCTAAGTCTATCTAACTGTGCTGGTTTTTCACTCTGACTAGAGAGAAAATAAGAATAAAGTCAAAAGTAGAGATTCTAAGCTATTTGGATGAGATTACAGCAAATAGATTTTTAGTAGAATAAGTTTGGAATCAATTATCTGACGAAGAGAGATTAGTTTATAAAAGACCCCTACCAGGTCTTGATAAATAAGAAATAAAAGATGAGCTTTAGCATTATGAGCCACAGATTGAAGACTTGATACCAAGAAACTTCAAGGTAGTGAAGTTGATATGCCATGATTTTGATCACTTCATGATGGCTCCACCACCTGTAATAGCTGATTAAAGAAGAAAGCCATAGCAATATGAATCATTGGCTCAACCTTTTAAGAAAGATCGCAGATTCAGACATCAATTTGATGAGTAAACTAAAGAATGGTTCACTAAGGAAGTAAATCCTTGATTTTTTATTCATGCTATGACTTATTTATTTGTGAGTATTAATGGTTGAGTAAAAATTAATTAAATTAAAGATATAAATTGAATTTAAATTGACTTGATATAATAACGAATATTTAAAATTAAATCAATTTAAATGGGTAAGCAAATCAACTTATTTCCCACCAATTAACCTCCTTATAGTTAGTATTGCCAATAGATCCTAATCTAAAGATATATGTAAATCATTGTAAATGTTGTTAATTATACTTATAGATGGAGTGTCTGGTAAGAGATAGAGCGTAAGTGGATACTGGGCTTCTAGCAATGTAGATGAGGAGGAAAAATAACCCGGTTTAAGAGATAAAAAATATGAGGGCTACTCAAATTTGAAAGGTAGTCACGAGTAGCTACAAAAGAAAAGCATGAGAAAATAGGAGAATTAACTAGCCAAAAATCTTGAAGAAGAATATATCCTTAACATGCAAAAGTAAGTCGTCTTAATGGAGCATGAAATAAAGCTTCTCAAGGACAGAGAGGTAGATCAGAAAAATAAAGCGTCGGGATATGAGACTTTACTTAGAGATGGAATACCTCTAAATGAGCATTTCTTGGCTCTAAAGAACAAGTATAACAATGAAAAAGACGACATGGATAAGTATTGCAATGCCCTTCAGGATGAGATAAAGAGAGAAGAGATGAACAACAAGAATAAGAAGCACAAGATAGAGATACTGAGAAGAGAGTATGAGGAGATCAACACGAGATTTTAAATTTACAAAGACCAAACTTAAAAGCAAATGAGAGAGTAATTAATCTACTTTTATCAAATTTTTTAGTCTTGAAACTAGGCTTTACAATGAGAGACACACAAAAGCTATCCTTGAAGGCGAGAGAGGAATTGCGACGAAGAAACTAGCTGATGTAAAAAATTTGAATCAGTAAATGAGCAGAGAGATCTAGAGAAATAAGATGTTTAATAAAAAAGATGAGGATCGTAAAAATAAAAAAGAGATTAATGACAAGAGCCAGTTTATAATTAGAGAGCAGAATAAAAACATTGAAGATAATGATATCAAGCTTGACTAGGAGAGACGAAGAAATGAGGACAAGTAGTTGGTTAAGAAACAGCAAGAAGCTACAATGGCTCTAAAATAAGATAATAACAAAGTTCACATTGATATTAGTATCGCATAAAGTAGACTTAAAGATCTGGAAGGCTTGAAAGAGATGACAATGGCTTAGCTAAAGGATATAATTAGCGAGAAGAGATAAGTTGACTAGGAGAATGAGAGTATTGATCATAAAATTTAAGGTAGAGGAGTTTCTGAATAAGAAGCTAGAGCTAAGCAATTCGAAGCTGAAAGAGAGCAAATGAAAAAAATATCTAATTCTTTGAAATTCCAAAAAGAGTTAGCCACAATATTAATGGAAAAGTTAAAGGACGAAGAAACTAAAGCCAAAGATATGCTCGATGAAAAGATAAGATAAAATCAATTGCTTAACTAAAACTTAGAAGATCAATCTGAAGCGAGAGCTATTTCTCAAAGAAACAGAGAGGAAATTATAAAGCTCTAGATAAGACTCTCACAACTGAGATCTTAAGAGGAAAGAATGAAAATTGACTTTGAGAAATATAAGATTGATAATGACTATAACATCAAGACTAACAAAGAGTTAGAGGACAAGAATAGGAAACTGGATGAAGAGATAAAGAGAACAATTCAAAGAATTGACATTAACGTCTTGCTTAAGAACGTTGACATTGAGGATATGAGAATAATTGCTCAAAACAACAAGCAAATGAGTGCAGTCCTTAACAGCCTTATTAACAAGTGGGAAGTAATCTAGACTGTCGAAATCTCATCGATTGACATTAAGATGTGATTGTGAGACAAATGACAGTTGACAGTTTAAGAAAGGTAAAATGATTTAGAATTACACAAACTATTAATTGAATTATACTTTTTTTACTATAACAATTACATATTGTCCTTGGGGTTTTGGGGTTTTGGGGTTTTGGGG